TCTTAAGTTGTACAGTATAGTTACTGGCACCGGATTCATGGATGAATGAATGAATGAATGAATCCATATAAGTGAACCCTTCTAACTGGACGGCGGCTTGCGCCATCTAGCCAGTCTTCTATACGTTACACGAAAAAGAAAAGATTAATTGATTACAAATGCAATTACTATCGGTTAAAAGACATTCGATTAGATTACTTGAGAAGAAAAATCATTGGACGTTACTTGATAAAGTAACAGTTGCTTTTCCGATTACTTCAGATTTTAAAACATGTTTGTGTTCGTGTGTTTGAAAACGGTGGGTCTTTTTTACCTTTCATTATTAGATTAGAATCACCGAATTATGCTCCTTTATGCACCAATTTTGGTAAAACAACCTCCAGTCGGAGACTTGGTTCCGGGATTCCTTGGTGTGAAACTTTTACAAAGGGCGCCATTAGAAAGGGGAGGAGAAAAACTTTGGGGTTACAAGTAATTTTCGTACTTCCAAAAATAACCAGATTACTCTTGCGTTTACTTCCAAAAAACAGTAATCAAACGATTGCAAAAATTACTCAAAAAGTAACTGATTACAAATAATATGATTACTTGTAATAAGTACAGTAGAAGTCTGCATCTATAGATCGACACGCTGTTTACAAACAATCCCGCGTTTGCCCACACCAGGTGTGGGCACTGCGCATGCGCATAAACCGAATTCGAGTGAACTGAAGCGTCTGCGCATGCGCAGTGCCGTCGACAGCGCCACCGCAGCTGCGTGACGTCAGGGACGCGTGTTGGTCTATACTCTGTTCACCCAAAGAAATGCTATCACGTTCAATATGTCCACATCCAGCATTTATTTCTTTCTCTCTCTCTCTCTCTCTCCTATCGCATTTGGAAAACAGAGGCACGCGCTCCACGTAGCTGGCTTCCAATGCTCGAAGCCAATACGAGCCGTTCAAATTCTGCACCGGTCAGGACCTTGCAGACGCAAACATTCTTGTTTGCAACTTTTTAACCTGTCTGCCGGCGGCACTCCAAAGACGACCGATAACGCACCCCCCGCTGCATACCAGAGAAACGCAGACACCATTTCCGTTGTTTGGTTTCGGGCTTCCTTATCGCCCGCCAGTAATCTGTAGGAGTTGGGTTTTCGCTGTTGGAAAGTTTTGGTAAACATTTTCCTTTGCGATCCGATAACGCTGCCCGATATCCCTGTCGGTGCTTTTTGCTTGTGCATCGTATCGTTATCGGGCATCGTTATGGGAGCGCCTAAACGATCGACTAAAACTTTCTGCTACCGGGTCCGGTTATCTAGCGAGCTATCGTGGGTAAAGGCGAGCCTGAAACATAGATGACACAAAGCTAGTCTTGAGAATCGCGTACCCCAATATATTTTGGGGTACGCGATTCTCAAACTTAACGAAATGACGTCGTCGGTCACTGCGCTTGCGCGGAGCCCGAACCGCGCTTTGAACTGCATTTCCACGACGCTCTTCGCGTTATAACGCAAATCTTTGGGGTACGGCGTTCTAAATCTCGCCAATAATTCCGAAGCGAAACTGAAGCTGTCTCGTCTTGATGGAGCGCATCGGACGCCACGAGCCATCGCAGCCAAACAAATGTCATGTGCCTGTCACGTGACTTTCGGGAGGTCCGCAGCGACGCGCATTCGCGTCACCCGGGGTATAGGGAGTATTCACTGGCGGCCATAGCTGTGTGCGCGAATGCTGAGCGCGTGCTGATGGCGAGCTTCCAGTTCTTTTGCAACGTGTATTCCGCACCATCAAGGTTGCCGGTCTTAGCAGCCTATTGATGTGAGCTCGTTCTGAGCATGCGCTCTAAACAGCACCAGCAAATATGGCGTCCAGTGAATACTTCCTATAGGCAAACCCCGCTTGTTTGTAAACGGTGTCGTGTTGGTCGATATATGTATCGAATGCTTCGGTATTCAATCGAGGACAGCATTTTATAAAGCCAGGCGCTCGCAGATACATTTACAGGTAACTCTAAAAACCGGGAATATAGACACCTTGCTCTTGTTTTGTCCGACTTGGGTTTTACTCTTGTGCTTCGAATATGTCGCAGTTTCGTCTGTTTCTCGTACCTGGAATTCGGCAGTTAGAATTCATAATGTAAAAGAAAAAACACATAGCATACACACATAGTTGTTCTTCTGCCTAGCCCATTCATGTTCTCTGTTGGTGCATCTTGGCAATTCGCCAGAATTTGTGTCAGCTGTTCTACGTGAAGAACGCCCTTGTGTTAAGTGCGCGCACTCAAGTATAGGAGCGCACTTAGTATTTTGTTATTACTAAATAGCTAAATCAAGTTTATATTATTATCGCATTATTGCAAAGCAGATATAGGTATGCAGAGCGCTGTGAAGTTTATAATTGCTAACTATGAACTATTATTGTCACTAAATTACAGGCATTGATGCCGCTCATGTTCGGCCACTTCTTTGTTAAAAACTCTGCGACTCGAGCATTCTTAAGCATAAATTAGTTAACTTCAGACGACATATGAGAGACGACACATATTTCAATAGAACTGTTTCAACACCAACAGTTGTTACAAATAGGACTGGTGTAGACGTTTTTTCGGTACCCAAATAGCCTAAGAGACGGTATTGGATCAACGCTTATAGTATTTTTTGTTCTTCAATTGTTGAGTTTCTTTTAGATGTTAGCATTGTCCATGCAGGGCCGGCTGCTCCATTGAAGTTAATTAAATATATACAGATATATCTGCAAATAATTACCCAAGTTGCACGATAGCAAGTAGTGGTCCGCATAACTGCTCACAGCTGTAGAATTGATGCTTTAAAATAGTTCCGATTTTTTTTAACGCATAGTTATAGAATACAGTTGGCTAACCAGTAATATTGTTTCAATTTTTTTAATGACTTAAACGAACGTGATTAACGCATTCTTTCCTGCGTCATAATTTGTCTTTCCCCGATAGTCTACCTCATCAATTACCAATATATCATTAGTATCTGAGTGTATTTCTACAACTTGTACCTTTACCCCTATGCGGCAATAATGCCCTCTAGATCCTGCGGCTCAATCTAAGTAAATAAATATATAAATCTACACATATGCCGAGAGAAAAGCACACACACTGCACGCGCACCCAGAAACTGCTTCGATGCATCGGGTTGGGTCAGAGTACGCTCATCTCTACACAAACAAACCCATACCGCAAAAAAACGTAGGTTATCATTAAACCGCTTCCTAACGGATGTGTTCTGTCCAAACAAACACACGAGTCTAGACCGCAGGCCAAGCAACTCTGCAGACGGTTAGTGGGTCTTTCGTGTTTGCTCCGCCCGCACTCGGAAGCCGGTGAGAGAGCGAGTGTCGATTAGCATGCTCCAGAACAGTTCCTAACTTGCTCAGGAAAAAAAAATGGTGTCATCGCAACTCTAGTGACGTCACAGAGACGGAGAACGAAAGCGAGCCGGCGCGTAGCTCTTCAGCGACGGCACCCGTGGCGCCATCTATTGAGGGGGCGCCGCACCTGCGACGCCCTTTCGAGGACGACCGCCCCGATTTGATTTCAAAAGGGTGTATGTGCAACTAAATACTAGATTCTAAGCAGTCAGCAACGACGGGTGATATTTGTGTTTGTTTTGTTTTCCCTCCAATTTCGATTTATCTTATTCCACGATAAAAAGTTTCCGATTTTCTGAAACCTGATGGCGTACTTTGAAAAGGGTCCATTTACGAGCATAAAATTGATTTTGATCATAAATATTAATTAGAGAAAGAAACTATATTCACATCTCACTTGATTCCATAAAAAAAAATAGTATTACAAAATAGCCAACAAGCACGTCATGCTGTCATTATTATTTATTTATTTTTTTTTACAATGAATGTTATTCACTAGCTCGCCTGCGTTTTTTACCTTTTCTTCGCCTCATTTATACCCTTCTTTAATTTTTGTGCAATGTTTATTTCTTCTCGACATGGCGCGCTCGATTTTTATCGGTTGTTCTTCATTCAAGGTAGTCTATCGTAGAGGCGACCACCGCACCCACGATTGTGGGTGCGGTGGTCGAGAGACCCAACCTCCTCCCTGTTCCTCTCCTTCCGTGTATTCTGACACTTCTCAATTACGCATACCTCTGCTGCGGTTAATAGACCGTTTCCAGAATTCAGTGCCATCTGGTGACTCAAATGGAAGTTTAACTTTTACCGTACTAATGGCGGCAATGATCCTGTGGTCTGCAGTATATTATAGGGCACCGTCACTTTCGCAAGTCAACGGTAAACGAGAACGCGCGCTTCACTGTACAGTTCCTTTTCAATCTCTTTCAGTGCCGATGGCGAAAAATATGTAACCAGTCAGAACGAAGCGCCAGCCCACATAGAGGCCTCGGTCAAATTCTATACATCAAGGAGGTTGGAAGCCCAGTGTGTGCTACTAACAGATCGACTGGGACCGAGTTAGAAATGAACGCTTACGCAGCTCTTGCATCCAGTTCCTGCTTCACGCCGCTCTAACGTCTAAAATGTGTAGGCATCAAATCATCTGCTTAGGAGCATCTTCAACTTCTTCCCTCATCACAAAACAAATGGCCGCTATTAGTATAGCACATATACCATTTTTCATATGATGATAGTGGTCAAAGTTGCCAGACTGAATTCCGGAAAGGGTCTATTGTACCATATCTCGATTACATGTATTATATTTGGTTACGTGAGAGAACCCATGCAATGACTTTCGATCAATCCGATTCATTCCCAGGGCAGTGAATATTTGTTATTAGTCATCCCTCTCGCAGGCTTTACAGTGAAGCCCGGCAGTAAGCTTTCGCAGTCAGGTCTAACGATTAGGCCTAGCGTTGAGGTCTAGCCCGTCGATTAACAGTAGAAGCGGTGAATGAATGTTTCATGCCACTATTTCTTAAGTACTGTATATGGATGTGGCATTCGTCCTTAGCCACTCCTCCCGTAAGGTCTAGCAAGAAGTTCATACATTTTGGTAGTTAGGCCTAACAATTAGGCCTAGTCTCGCGCATTCTTGGTTGACTTACCCGAGCTGTAGCTGTCCGTGGAAGAGGCGGAGAGGGAGCGGCTACGGTAGCGCCCCCTTGCCTTCATGCCGCCCGCCAGCTTGGACTCCTACAGGGGGAAAAGCAGACACCATTAGAAGAGCAGAACCGAGGCTGAGCAGGAAACCTTCCATAGACCTTTCCATCGCTTATTACCCGGGCGAAAAATGCTGAGTAAGTGAGCTGTGGACGCATGAGCAGTGTCTGATATGTCTGATAACAACAGAGCTAGAGCGCATGCTCAGCAGACGAGTTTTGCAAAGTTCTAAATTTCGAACAACTTCTATGAAAAGGTTTTTTTTTTTGTTTTTTTTTTTTTTTTTTTTTATTGCGTCGGTTTTTTAGATTACAGTCGTGCCCGAGGACAGAGACATGGCGATAACTGAGTCGTTCTCACTGCACCGCTGGAGATACGCCGAAAAGAAATAAACGGGCAGAAAACAGGGGACTCGTTGGAGGAGGTGATACCAAGAAAACGGGGCCACTTATGTTGTCGACCAGTGTAAACACGGACAGAGAGTCCTAATGAGAGATATCATCACGTTTTCTGGCGTACACTAGGCGACACTGATAGGACAAACAAACGATTACCGGCATTTTTTTTTTTCTTAAAATCTAAGGACTGTTATTGAAAATGATGGTGGTAAGTGTTTGCTTGTCGCACTAAGCGGTAACATTTTGTGTCTGGGAATAATACCCTCTCAAAATATTGAGAAAAAAAAACGCGGATGTTACGTTTGCGTTAACAGTATCACGCATCGTACACCTCGTAAAGTTTATCTGTTTCATTCAAATCAGTTGATTTTATCCTAGCATTGGATGGATGGATGAACGAATACGGCTGACGTTCTCAAATCAGGCGGCGCTTAGCGCCACCACACAGGTTTCGAGCGAACCACAATTAAGGGATCGACACGCGCGTTGCAACGCGACGTTCTCGGTTAACCGGGCCGCCACGGCGACTCCGAAGACAAAACAAACAAAAAAATCGGGAACGTCATTAAAAGTATAGCGCGTGTCCTAACTCACGAGCTGGGTCGTCCACGACGCGGCAAGCTTGTACTCGTTTCGTAAAGACAAAGGATTTACAAAGGGACAATAGGAGGGACGCCGAGACTTCATGGGGACGCAAGTCGCGCTACATTAGATGCGGCCCGCATCCAACGCACCTTCCTCATCTAAGACAGATTTGCTCTGCGATGCACGCGCTACGTCATGATCCCGCCGCAGTGACATAGCTGGAATCGTGTTACTGCCATTAAAACAGTTAGAAGACTTCGTCGTTTTACGATGGCAAACAGAAATCATCGAAAATGAGCTGTTCTACTGCGGGGCAATAATCAACGTGCGCGAGAAATTTTCATGGCAGGAAACGAACTAAAAAGAAGTGCCACGTCGAGAGCACCATTCTATACATCGCCCACAAATCAGCGTAAGATGTTACGTAAGTTATTTTATTCGTAAAATCGCAGCACTGTTTTTTTTTTTTTTTTTTTTTTTTTTTCACATCTTTTAAAACATTTCCTCGAACGAAGGAAAACACAATTTCGCTGAAATATATGTCAGTGATCAAGACTGCCTAGCTTCTTGATCGATTGTTTTTTTATGTACTTGATACATTCCGCGCTGCGGGCGGCGTCAAGGCCACCCAAGTCTTGAATGCTTCACCGTCGTCGATCAAGCGTGACAGGGAGAAAACGAAACAGCACGAAAATCACACAGGGCTTTTTAAGCGCATCTACAGCCGCTCAAGAGGTTCCGGTACCGGACGCTACGATTCATCTCAACCAATGACAGCGCTGCGAGTCGACCACGTGACTTCGCGCTCCGCGCGCCACTCACGACGTCAGGAATTGCACAAAAAAAAAAAAGACACACTAATTAGCTAAATAATTACCCAGAATCTACTAATTAACGGTTTAATTTATGAATATAAACAATGTTCCAATTAGAAACTTACTTAGCGTCAGAAAATCCCTACATCATGTAATCAATTTTACGTAGACTTAAAATTCATGCGAAGCGGCCCAGGGGGGAGGGGGAGGGTGTGCGTTAAAGTTTCACTCGTACAACAGGCCCAAGGCTGGCCGTGCAAAAGCGCGGACGGTGATATAATTCGCGTTCTCCCGTCGGCGAAACTGCGAACGCCCACGTGTTCGATCGATTACTGTAGCTCCGACCACCATTCCCCGTGCGTCATTCGTCGTCGTCGTCCCCGAGGCCTTGTCCGGAGAGAAAATTGGCCCGACGCTGCCATGCGAAGAAGCGTGTCCAATGTCAAAGTCCGCCGCGTGTGTCCGATCGGCGGCGGGCGCCTCGATGTCCGCTGAACCGTACTCGCCGCTCAGGACAAGTCAGGCGTGCACCAGAGTCACCAAATAAGCCACGCTAGTAGAGTACTGACAGTCGAGTCCCTGACTGTCCCGTGGGCGCCGCCATTTTTGTTGCCTAGTCCAAAGTTGGTGCAATCGCTGGTCTCCTTTTTACTCTGTCTCCTTTTTACTCTGTCACGGAATGTTTTTTTTTTTTTTTTAAGTAATATACAACGTGCCCCTCTACCCCCCCCCCCCCCAATGTTTCTCTTTTTTTTTTTTTTTTTTTTGAGGGGGGGGGGGAGAGGAAGGGTAACGGGCAAAAAAAATGACAAAAAAAAAGTTTTTCTTTTTTTTGCAAAAATAAATTATTTATTGCCGAAGACTCGTTCTTCGCCCAAATGCAGCGCTAGAGGTCCGACCGAGATGGCAAAGTTGCAGCACTAGCTGTTATCTTATTCAGAAGTTGTGATTTTTTGAAATTTTCAACGGGAAAATGGAGCCTATTCTCGTTTTCGGTAACTGGCACCATAGAGCACCCTGTGTTCGAGAGCTAGGACCCTTCTCTCATTCAAAATTTCGGAAACTCACTTTTAACTTTTGAACAGGATAACGGTTGGTGCTGAAACTTTGGTATCTGGTTCAGACGTCTAGGCTAAACTTGGGCGGAGAATGAGTTGGGCGATGCGTAGTTTATTTTTGCAATAAAAAAAAAACTTACTTTCTTCTTCTTTTTCTCACTTTATTATTATTATTTTTTTTTTTTTTTTTGGGGGGGGGGGGGGGTTTGCATTATAGGGTGCCTCAAGCGGAAGGTACGCAAACTACGTCGCGTCAAAACCATTAAGCATCGTACACAGTATAGGAGCTTAAGTATAAGATCGTCATACTTTACCTCCCACTGTCAAACTTCTATACCACACTATTTTATTCGCACCTATATTTTGCAGTCATTTAATAAGGGAAATACCACTCCTGAAAACTAAAAAAATGCACGTATTACAAAAGAAGAATGCTAATAAGCCTAGAAAACGTTTCATGTGAACATACCTCTACTCATGTTTCAGAAATACTGTATAATGAACATCCGCAACATGCATTCATCTCGCATAAGCTTAGGTTATTAACACGAAATATTAAATCATACGCATTTTCTTGTTCAATTAGCGTATGCTTCTCTAGAAAAACGGTCACATATTCCACACGTAGGAGTGATATGTGGGACATTTCTTCGCGCAAAACAAGTTACGGAGAACAAATGATAAAATGTAAACTTCAAGAATTGTAGAATTTCTTCAAAAATGCGTAAAAATGGCTTAAAAATAAAAGAAATGATTTCACACAAAACAAATTTGAGCTTGTTTATGAGAATATGACTATATGTAAACTGCTGCGTTTTATTTGATTTTCTTATTTATCATTTATAGTTATTATTTTAGTTGTTTCAATGTGCTCCACGTATTTCCTTATGCTAAAATGCATTGTTATTGTTATTTTTGTTGAGTGTTTATGCGCAATATGTACGTGGTGTATTGCATGCCTTCGTTATCTTTTACTGTACAATGTGTGGGGAGGAGGAAGCTCGTAAAGCTGATTCTTCATCTTTTTTCCCCCAACCTCCCCATCGCTTTCATAGAAAATAAAGGTACTATTAGACCTTATACACGAACTCAGCTCTCTTCCGTCACGGCGCGTCAGGCGTACTTCCGGACTGGGGCTGTGGGCGGAAGTCACCATGCGGGACGTGCATTTCTGTGTTGTTCTATAAGAAACCAGACAAAAACCAGCCTTCTCGACAAAACACCGCGACTGGGACTGTACCAAAAGGGTCGGGAAAGGTTTGAAGGTCAGTTTCCATGTGTTTTCTGCCTGCTTGGTTCGTCCGAGAACGTGAATAGGGGCCGTGAAAAAGGAAAACCAGACGCCGTCCGACCACGACTGCTTGTGCGGGAAGCACTTTGGGTTGAATTCACGGACACTTGTGGTGGCCAGAAATACTTATTTTGTTCTAACAAAACCGCAGAAAAATCGCCAAGTTGCACGGACCACCTGCGGACTACGTTCAGTGCGGCATCAAGTTCAAACAGCCGCCTGATCGTTCGAGCTGCCGTCTGCTCTCTCAAACGTTTCTGCTTGTTGTCTCATGCTCGTTCAAACGACAGCGGCCCGTAGACCAAACGTTCACCCGGTAATTGCGATAAGAAGTAGAATAAGTGCAGGCCTCAAAAGACTTAAGTTTGAAGGTTGGTTGGGGTAAGTGGGCTCGGTGTAAACACTAGATACAATGAGATTGTTGATAAGTGTTACCAGTAGCATGACCGACTTGTTATGTCTGATTCACTTGGTCCGATTCTGCTTGCGATTTTCAGTATGGACGTCGACATCTCAGCTACGGTTCACGCTTTTGCAGCCCGAGCGACGTCATGACTGAAAATAGCGAGCAGAACCTCATCATTCAAATCAGGCTTTAACGTCCATTCTGCGGCGTCTACGCGGAATGAGTCGCCGCATGTCACGTTATTCACGCCAAGTTTTGCGGCGTAACGAGCCTGGCTAATTTCGCTGAGGCCGCTCAAGTATAACCAGACATTGCCAGAAAGACGCAGAATCAACAACTCCAAGGCGACAAAAAGCACGGTGGCTCGCACCGACGCCGACAACATCGCATTCCAATAGTTTGTTCATGGGTGACGACGAGCTTCTTGCCCACACTCCGTCGCGCATGCGCGGCGCCGGTGGCGTCCGCTAGGGGCGCTTT